CTCATTCAAAAGAATCAAATGTTTTCTCGAAATATGAAGAAAATACCAAGAGAAAAAGCTGAAGAGATTACACTGTCTTTCATGTTGGAAATGTAAGAAGCAGAGCGGGATTTTCCAGCGCAACTTCACCAACTACTAATGTGCATGAAGAGGGAAAGGCTAGAGAAGTCAAAAGCCCAGCGGCACTTTAGTATGAAGATCAACTTTGTTAACAAATACCAAAGTGTTCATACTTGTGGCCTTCATCAGGGTCATCAGGGAAATTCAACTTCAAAAAAAGGAACACTCAATGAAGTTTTGAGTGAAGTTCAAGAGAATCATTATTTGCAACATTCAAGTGTGGGATGGCAAAACAAATCTCATGACATTTACAGCGATGTGCCTCCCAGTTACAACTCTTAAGTTGCCTGTAATTATATTTAGAGCTAGAATTTGCTGAGTGTTTCAACAGAAATTACACTGCCTTTAGTTCTGCACTCAAAACAGAATTCATGAAAAAGGTCCTCAGACACCTAATGTGACACATGAGGCGAAGTGACCCACCCCCCCTTCCTTTCCCCCGCCTATTCTCCAGTCCACATCAGCACTGTCGGTCCACGACAGCCTATCAGAGTCCACCAACTCCTACTACGACAGCTATGTGGGACATGAATGGACTAAGTTGGAGCCAATCCGAACAGGCCCACGGTTGCAGCAACAGCCTAGAAATAGACCATTTTGTCGGGTAACATGCAAGTTAAATGTTCAAGACCCCTCAGTGTGACATCAACCCAAAAGATAGGCTGATGAGGACACATTTTTCAGGTGCTCTTTCTCTTTGTGTTCTTCTTTTTTTTTTAACAACACACAGCACTCATGATAGGAGCTGTATAAATCAATCAGACGTAATCAGATTGGGAAAGTAGTGAGATCAGTGAACAGCTGGCATTGAAAATACACAAAACAAGCATCAAATGACGGCGTGTTTGATGTTACACCCGCATTATGTACCCAAGGACATGGCAAAAATCACAAGTTTGGTTTGTCCTGCACAAACACAAGGCCGTGGATCAAGTACACACGCCGCTTATCAACCACACACTCATTTTTCAGAGGCCAGAAAGTCAAGGAAACCAAACCAAATCACTGGGGATTTCCAAAAAGCCCGCAGAGTAACTCTGGCTACAGGATGAGCTGAAATCTGAACATAACAGCCCCACTTCTTGTAGATAATACAATGACTACAGTCACAGAAGTACAGCAAGAAAAAAAACATCCTCTAGAAATGAGGAAAACTGCTGCTGCTGCTGTGGCTTGTGTAATCAAGTGAAGGTTCACAATCACATGCAGATTTTGACTGAGGTGTGTGTGTGTGGTGGGGTTTCTTTAAGAAGGCCATATGTAGAATTGGAAAGCTTACCTGACACCCCCAAAGCCACCAGGTGTGCCATGCATTGTGTTGCAAAAGCACTAAAGCCCAAGCTTAAGAGATTTCACAATAATGACTGACACTGTCTGGCTACCCTGACACTGAGACACAGTTAATATATCAGCTGTGCTACATTATTTTACCTGCTCACGTCTTGCGAGGCTGTCCATTATCAAACATGTCAGTTTTCACTTTGACAAGAGTTGAATTCATAATGCGAACCATTTAACAACACGACACCTTTAAAAAAAAAAAACACCTCAAAACCATTTGGGCATACGAGGTAACACACAATTAACGAGCTTTTGCTTTAACATGTGCTGACAGGTGTAAATCACAGAGCTGTCGAGACAATAAACCAAGGCGTCAAAATGTTAAAAGAGGAATACGTTACTCCCAGCTCAGGCAAACAAGTTAGCAGCTAACGTGCTAACAGCGGCTAGGTGTTATCAAGTGTCGCGCTACCGAGTTACCTGGTCCGCCACGTCTTCGGCTGTGTTCATGAGATCCTCCTGCCCCATGTTCGTGAAATGTTAAGGAGAATTAATAGTTAAGGCGAAGCGCAACACAGTTTTTGATGTGTCGCGTTGGACCGTCGGACTGTTCCTCCCCCCGTTCACGTTATTTACTTGAAGATTTCCCGACCGCCTGCACGCAGAGAAAAAGGCCGCCTCCCGCCCCACAATGCCCCGCGATTTGACGACAGACACGCAGAGGGCCCCCCTACATGGTACTGCAACCGCTGTATGCCACGTATACTGATCCGTCCAGGGGGGGGCTTCACACAGCTGCTGCTACCACCAGCAGCAGCAGCAGCCGCCTTGTTTACGGTTATTACACATGTAAACAAGCATCGGTTATATACCCTTCATCCCCACCTGTGTCCATTTATTATAAACTACAAAAACATGAGTCCAAATACTGCGCACACTCAGAGAGCGTTCCCCATGCAGCTGTCAAAATACAACTGGACACATGGTTTAATGCAGTTTAAAGCTTCAGTGAGGATTTTTTATTTTTTTTTAGCTTGTTGTGAAACTTATATAATGGAAGCCCCATTTCCGCCAGTTAAAAAAAAAAAATGAAAATAATAAAGTCATAATAATGAGATAAGAAGTTGAAATTATGAGATAAGAAGTCAAAATTATGAGATATAAAGTCGAAATTATGAGATATAAAGTCATAATAATGAGATAAGTCAAAATAATGAACTAAAAAGTCAAAATAATGAGATATAAAGTCGAAATTATGAGATATAAAGTCATAATAATGAGATAAAAAGTCAAAATTATGAGATATAAAGTCATAATAATGAGCTAAGTCAAAATAATGAACTAAAAAGTCAAAATAATGAGTTAAAAAGTCAAAATTATGAGATATAAAGTCGAAATTATGAGATATAAAGTCGAAATTATGAGATATAAAGTCATAATAATGAGATATAAAGTCGAAACTATGAGATATAAAGTCATAATAATGAGATAAGTCAAAATAATGAGATAAAAAGTTGAAATTATGAGACTTTATTATTTTCATTTTTTATTTTTTTTACTGGCGGAAATGGGCTTCCATATAATACTGATGCCTCTTTATGACTAAAAAGATTATCAGAGACGATTAATAAAAAAAAAAAACAGCTGCTATGGTGGTGTAGGTTTCTGATGAGGTGATTAACAGCACAAAGCCTTTTTGGATATTTTGTTCATGCCAAAGATTAATTGTTGCACGTTACATATTGAACATTAATTTTTACCCAGAAAATACTATTTGCACATGTAGGCTTCAGGACTAGATGGACTCTCTGCATTACTGTGGTACAACACTGCCTCTCTTCTCTGCTGTTTTACATTACTTGCTGCTATTTATCATACCAAGTCACTTTAATCATCACTTCATTCCCTGCAAATACTGTCTCAATTCCCTGCACAGTTAACTTCATCATTCATTTTGTACTTGTATATACCCCCTATTTTTATTTTTATTTATCTTATCTATTCTGTTTAATGTGTATTTTGTATTTTGAGCTTACTTGTCTGTACTGCTGCAACGCCTGAATTTCCCCTCTGGGGCAGCACTAAGATGCACTCTCTCACTTTATCCACATAGGTTACCTATAGGACCCAAAAGGTTCCTCACAGGAGTTCCACTGACAAAATGACAGATTAGTGCACAATGTGGTTGTGGGCATGCACAAAGTGCTTTTTAAATCAGTTGGAACTGCAAAAAAATGAAGGCTGACCTGTCACCCCGGACTGTTTGAGACCCTCCCCTCTAGCAAGAGGCTGCAGTCCATCAGGACCAAAACCTCACACCATAAGAACAGTTTCTTCCCCTCTGCTGCTCATCAATAACGTCCCTGCTCTCCCCTACATCACACAGACTCTCACCCAGCCCTTCAGTCAGATAACATTACAGTATAGTGAAGGCTGAAACTGATTTTATGCGTTACATTAACACTCACTGGACATTAGATTTTTTGTTTACATGCTCTCTCTGAGGAAATCTAGCTACACTGTAAGACTTTGTCATTGTTAACTGTACAACTCCTTCATTGAACCTTTTTATGTTTTGATATTTGCATACTCTATTATATACATTTAACCTTCCATATTAATCTTCCTATTTAAGACTAGTAATGCTTAGTTAAATCCTGGTTGTATATATTTACATTCTTAGTTTTAATATTTTTAGCACTTATTTACTTTGTATTTAATATTATATTATGTTTAGATTTGCTACCATTGTGTTTTTTACTCATATTGTGTGTTTGGATAACCTGCTGCTGTAACGCCACAATTTCCCAGTTTGGGATCAATAAAGTAATTCTATTTTATATATTTGTAATTGCTTTTTTTTTCCTTGCTGTTTTTGCTTTATTTCCTTTGCCAATTGTTTTGCACCACAACACTGTAATATTCCTTGTATGTGTAAATTTACTTGGCTATAAAAGCTGATTCTGATTCTGAAAACCTTACAATTTGATTCATTTTTTTTCTCAACAAACTTTTGAATGAACTTCTCTATATTGGTGGAAATTGTCATCCATGAAGACACTAATATGTCTGCAAAAGTCAAACCCATTTATCAGTGTTAATATCAATGTTAAGTTATTTTTGGTTTTCCAGGTATAAAATCTGGTTCTTGTAATCTTCCACTTACACACACTTTTGGAGCTTATTCATATACACTGCTGTGTTTACAAGAGACCACAAACAGCCACACAGGTTCTCTTTTTTTAATAAGTCAATAGAGATGATTTTGGCCAAAAGGAGAGGACAAGAATGCCTGAGGATGCTGAACTGTAGTGCCATGAAGAGCCAGAGCTTACACGTGGCTTGTTAAGTCAAAAGAAACGGAGAAAAAGTCTTAAAACTCTGGAACATGTCCACTCCCTGTTAGCCATGCAGAAAAAACACAGGTATTTTAACAAGCAGTGGTCCAGTGTTCACTACCACAGCTGTTTGTTTGTTTTTGTAAAAGCACAGCAATAACTGTTGCCTAGCATGAAGGATTCAATGTTTTGCACATCAAGCAAAACTTGCCTCTTTATAATTTGTGGGCAATGATAGGTACACAAATAAAATACACAAAGTTTGTAAACCAAATGTAGTTGTATTTTTCATAAACACATTCGGTTTCAGATCACAAAACCAGTCAAAATGATGCATTTACTGGCCCGTCGATATGTCCGGTCTGCAAACCAGCCCTAATCAGAACATCAAAAACTGGAGACCAGACAACGTTTCATATGCAGAGACTCTGAAAAATCTAATGGCTGCTCACTTGTACAAAAGGTCATGCTCGCTCAGACAAACAAATATGTCCGAGCTGACAAATCAACCGGAGAAATAGATACTGAACTTTTATAGTTTGTACAAAAGCTTGAAGCAGACGTGCACTCATACATTTCATTTACTCCATTTTCCTGTGTTTACGAGTCATTTCTGGCTGTTTGCATGTGTCTCAACTTATTTTAAACTCTGAGTATCATAGCTGGTTAAAACAAGTAATTAAGGATGCTTTTTGTTTTTAAATCTTTCCTGTTATCTCCGGATAACAAAGCCGGATAACAAGTTAATTTCAGTTTTCTTCTCAAGATTTGGACCTATTTGTTTCATTATTTTTGGGACGATAAAGCTGATTTTTCAGTGATAACGAGTAAATTTGAGTTGTTTTCTTGAGATTTTCACCTATTCGTTTTTCATTATTTTGGGATAACAAAGCTGGTTTTCCAGTGATAACTGAAGTATCTCATTCTGTAACTTTTGGGCGATCTAGGAAAAACAACCATAGGCTGCTCACAGTGGGGGTCTAATGAGGTAGGTTGCGTTTATTTCTATGTATGTTTTGTGCTTTTGCAACTCTAAATTCTATGAGTTACATAAGTTGGATGACAAGGAAATACTTGTCATCGAGGGGACAGAGTAAGTGAAATGTATGGATGCATGTCGGCTCAACACTAAGGTAGCTCTGAGTTTACTTTTCACCTAATGCTTTCCCTTGTTTCTTACGCCCCTTTTTCCAGTGGTTATTTCTGAATTTCTTCTTAAAACCACCACCCTGCACCTGAAACATATATAAAAATAATGTCAGCATTAAGTAAATTCATGTTAAATAAAGATCGACATTTCAACAATATATTTTGTAAATTTAAAAAGTAGAATTTCTACACACCTTCTTCCGTTTCTGCTGCTCCTGCTTATCTACCTCCATGTCCTCATCTTCATCTGTTTGGAAGTCATCTTCTTCCTCTTTTTCATCCCTGTCGGCCTCCACACTCTCTTCTGCTGGCTCTTTTAACGTGAATACAGAGGCTGTGGGAGCAAACAGCACGACAGTGTCAAAACAAATCTAAGAGTTGTGTTAGAAATACGAAAGCACTTTGTTTACTGACAAGGGTAGAGGTCACTCATGCTGTCCTCTGAGTCGCTGTGATCCTCGTCACTGGATGTGGGGTCCCACTGGCCTTTCCCGTGTTTTGGGGCTCTCCCCCGACCGACATCCTCGCCGAAGTCTTTAGGCCTTTTCTGTCTGAGCCTGGCTGGAGTGAATTCAATCCCCTGCTTGACACACTCTTCATCTAGAGGGGAGATCAAGACAACAGGGTGAGTAAAGCAACAAGAAAAATATCTGCAGTGTGCTACGTGAACTGCAATGCAGGTGAGAAGAAACCCACATGGTCGTGTTTTCATATCGGCACCTTTTTCCGTTTTTTTTTTTTAGCTCACAACACTGCAAAAAACGCAAAACTCAGCAAGTGTATTTGTCTTATTTCTAGTCAAAAAACAACTTATTTCACTTCTTATAAGCCACGTTCACCTGACAGGTCCAGATAAAATGTTATTTCAAGATGCAAAAAGCCAAAAATGTGGCCTGACTTGCTTGTAATCAGTAAATATATCTGATAATGCAGCAAGCAAACTTCACTTACAGCGTCTTGAAAAAGAGATGTACTCACTCTTTATCTATCTAGACTAGAGACAGGACAGTGGAGAGAGAGCCAGAAAGCAGGAAGAGAGAGAGAGTGGGGAATGACACACGACGGTAAAGGAGCAACCCGGACCGCGCGCCTGGAAGACCACAGGGTTGCACGCACTGACCACCAGGCCACTGGCGCCCCAAGAATAATGAGATATTTTGACTAGAGATGAAAACAAATATACTTGCTAAAATTTTAGACTTTTGCAGTGAAATGAAGTCTGTTTCATGATCTAAAAAAAAAAAACCTCAAAAAAACATTCATTTCTATGTCAACATGCGGCACATTAAAACGTACAGTGCAAAAAAAAAAGGTGAAGTATTATCAAGGAGCTTTGAAGGCTCAAGGTACAGTGATAAGAACTGAGGCAATACTACAGTATAAATCTAAAATAGTTACTGAAGTTCATCATTTTGAACAAATGTAACATTTCAGTATCTTATAAGGCCCCCGAAATAAAATCTAGATCAGGCAGGTTTACAACTGTTGCAAAGCAGAGGAGCGTTTAAGAAAAGAAACACTTTTCTATTAAGTTTACTTTAAAACCAAATGTTTACATCACTTGGGTTGTATAAAATCCCCAGTCTACAAAGAGCGTACTATAACCTTTAGTACAGTGTGAAAAATGTACTGTACTGACATTTTGAGAGGGCTTTCTTGAAGCGTTTCCCGTTAACATGTCTTAAGACGTGATGCGGTTGCCTGTTGAGATGTCTGAGAGTCAGCTTACAGAAGAGCTGATTGCTGGAAAACACAAAAGGAAGCACAACAACATTAGAAAGTATGCAGCTTCTCTCAGTATGTCAATATCTGAGTGACAACTCTGCTTGATGCTGCTTTTTTTTTCAAATTCAAATTGAAAGTCAAAAGGGTCTTCTTACGGTTGCTTTGAGCTGGACACGATATGAGGCTCATACTGGCTGTAGTTGAAGTCTGCAGCAGCACTCAGTTTCTCATACTTCTTTCCCTGAGTGAACTTTTGAAGCTCTGTTAGGTTGCATGGAAACTCGTGGCCATTCAGAGTGCATTTGATCTGAAAACATTTAAGACACACACACACACACATGGTACATTTACTAATGTAGATCAGTTTGGTGCAGCAATAAACCTGGTTAATCACTTGATAGGGTTTTTTTCAGTCTTGATCAGCACATCCAGGAAACACATAGGAATGCATGGCTCATTAGATCAGTTAGCAACACGGCTAGGATAACAGTAAACACAGCAGTGTGTATCGTGTAAAGTGACGTCATTAGGTAGCAAACCTTTTTGCCATCTGTAAGCTGGAGGAAAGGGTGGTTAGGAAGAAAATCTCTCACGTCCGCAGGTAATTCATCCATAGCTTAAAAAAACACTTCAAAACAGGTATTTGAGTGTGTTGATGAGGCCACCCCCCCCAATTCAGGAAGTGTCCACACGTGGGTTGCCTGCGCAGACTCAGTTCAGCCATGTGTGATGTCTTGGCGCCACCCACTGATCAAAGGTAAGAAGGGCAGTTTTGACGAGGAAGATGAAGCTTTCCATTCAGCAATCAGCATTGTATTCATCAATCACTAACATTTCATTAAATTAAGTGAAATAAAGGTTGAGGTTTTTGAAGTAAGCATGAAAAATTAGGCAAACTACACCCAATGAACATGATTTAACTACAGATAATACATCTGCTCTTACATTTAAGTAACAATAATGTGCCTTTCACATACAGTAATTGGCTTAAATCAGGTACTAGCAGTGCTTTCCAGTCAGCTGACAGACAGAATCAGACAACCTGTAATCACAGAGCAGAAAAGTTAGGAGTGCTCACTCTGCACCTATTTTCAGAAATCTCTTAATTTGGTCGAAAAGCGCTGTAGAGAACTCAAATGGGGGAAAAAAAAAAGAAAAAACCGCGTGTACCTGATCAAAAACGGGCGTTAGTAAAAGCAACACAAGGCTTTCAAAACCACTTTTTACACTGTAGAGTTGAATATATTTTCAGTTTTACTACCCGTTTAGTTACACATACTGAGTGAGCCATCTTCCTTGAGATTAAAGCAAAATCTTTGACGAGAACGTGTAAGCTCCGCCCACATTTCTCCCCTAACGCCTCAGTCCTGTAAACAAATATCAGACGCAGCTAGCGTCCTGAAACTCTTAATTTATCCAGAAAGTGTTAAAATAGAAAAAACATTTGATACAATATTTTGCGAGTTTAAGAGTTGAGGTGCTGACGCTCATCAGCTGGTAACGTAACGCTGTACGTGAGAAGAGTATCAGACGGGAACATATCAGCAATGTCTGGACCGAATGGGGACCCGAACATCTCACATGAAGAAGGAATTATCAACGACGAAGATGATTTCGGTGATGAAGAAGGTGAATAGTTTAAAGTTTCCATTCATTGTAGTCGATGCAAATATAAAAAACTCTTAATTTCGATGGTGTACTATTAAAACAGGTTGTTCATCTTGACTGGGTGTCACGTGCCGGGTCATGTGATTTGTCACATGACATTTACATTACTTACAGGAGTTTCCTCCTCCACACACACACACACACACACACACACACACACACACACACACAAACACACACAGAACACCCCTTCAGAAATAATTAGGAGCAAAACAAACACAATTCATAGAACTTATAATACTTAGTACAATACAAACAATAGATTAATAAAATAGAATTACTTTATTGATCCCAAACTGGGAAATTGTGGCTTTACAGCAGCAGGTTGTCCAAACACACAATATGAGTAAAAAACACAATGTTAGCAAATCTAAACATAATATAATATTAAATACAAAGTAAATAAGTACTAAAAAAATATCAGAACTAAGAATGTGAATATATACAACCAGGATTTAACTTAGCATTACTAGTCTTAAATAGGAAGATTAAATGTAAATGTGCAAAAACAGAGTTGTAAATGGTTTTAAATTAAATATGAAAGATTAAATGTAAATGTGCAAAAAACAGAATAGTAAATGGACAGTATTGACATAAGTTAAAGTGCATGAGTGTAGACATATTATAAGCAGAAACTATTCAATATAACGGCGAGTAGACAGACAAATGAAGTGACATTAGTAAATTGAAACATGTGCAGAACAGATGACAGTATGGAGAGACAGATATTATCATGATGACAGTTCTCTGCTTGTAAGAGGTGAGCTGTTGTACAGAGTTACGGCCTTCGGTAAGAAAGATTTCCTGTATCTGTCCTTGTGACAATACAATACACATGATCTCAATATGTAATATTACACAATATCATATCATAATAAATACAACATTTTATTTTACAGTATGTATAAATAAACATGCAACCATATATACACACACACATATTTTTATCGATTCGGATTCTTCAAAAAAAAAAAGTCATGGCCGGTGATAAACTTTAACGCTGAAAAGAACTCAAAATATTAGCTTGAAAGTAAAGAAAGAGATGTTTGTATCCGTGTTTGATTTAGGGAGGCAAAGGCTCTTTTCATGTCTGTACTTGACATTAAATCATAACAGTTAATAGACATAGAGATGGAGAGTAACCATGAATGTTGTGTCTGTTAAAGACCACTTACATTCTCATCTTTTTATTTTGCCTGACATGTAAAAACATAATTTCTGCTGCATATCCACAGAGTATGAAGCCATCAACGGCATGCTAGATCAGATCAACTCCTATCTCGATGGCCTGGAGGAACGCAATGATTCCCTTAACGGGAAACTACATGAACTGATGGAGTCAAACCGGGCTGCTCGGCTGGAGTTCAGGGCGCAGCTGCAGGGCTCCCCGACCCAGGAAGAGCAATGTCCTGCAGACCGGGACTCGTCCTCTCCTGGAAAAGAGGAACTGAATGAGGAAGATGGGGATAAGAAATGAGTGACGTGAGGAGGTAGATGAGCCAGAAGGAGCTCAGCAAAATGCAGGGCTAGATATATTTATTGAAGTTTACTTAACTCCTGACTGGTTCAAATAGGAATTTAAAATCCCATCAGCAGATTTGTGTACAACGGTGATCATTTGATTCCTTTTTAAGACTCAACACTGAACTCTTCTCCTTTGTTGAACTTTGTTTGTGTGCTCATGTTTGGTTCTTAAGTAGACTGGACATGACTTCTAGCAGCTTCATATACGACTGTACCCACCTGTTGCTGTTCTCGTCATCAAATCTGGGAACATTGTCGGAAAGGTCCAAGTTCAACATCATGAGAGCAAATTCTCAAATCCGGATCTCACTAGAAAAAGGTTTAAAAAGCTGATACGTCTCCACGTTGGTAATTTAAGTAGCTCAAAGTACAAAACCATGCTTGAATTGACCCAGAATCCTGTCATAAATGTAACAATCCAACCAGCTGGTAGAACATGCTACTCAACAATTCAGGGATCGTCAGTAGTTGTCTTTTAGTAGGGGACATGGTCATACTTCTGTGGTGTGTTGATCCATTTGGTGTCGTCTTTCAGCGTTCAAGAGCTGTGCAGTGTGTGTGTGTGTGTGTGTGTGTGTGTGTGTGTTATTGTTTGTATCATACCATTAAGTAAATATGCAACATTCCAGATGTATTAAAATGTTTCATCTGCAGAACAAATGTACATTTGTGTTTTATCCTTCATTTGATGTATGTGCCAATGAAAGGCGTCTGATCCAACCTTCACAACAGGGTCCTAAGTCTCTGACTAGACTCTTCTCCTCTGTCGCCCCCCGGTGGTCGAATGAACTTCCAAACTCCATTCGATCTGCAGAGTCCCTCTGCACCTTTAAGAAAACGCTAAAGACCCAGCTCTTTATGAATACCTACTAACTTAATGATGATGGTCTCCATATTATTGATGATGGTTGTCACAATTGTTTTTGTTTGATAACGATGACTTATAAGATGGTTTCTATACTGATTAGAGCTCTCAAGAACTGCTGTCAATGTTGTGCTTTGCCTCTGTTCACATCCTGTCAGCACCTGTGTGTCCAATCAGACTCAAAGCTGATCGTTTGCTCTTACTGACATTGTTCCCTTTTTTCTAGATCCTTGCTTGTGTTGTACTTACTCTCTGATGTACGTCGCTTTGGATAAAAGCGTCTGCTAAGTGAATTGTAGAATGTAGAAGTGAACATGGGGCGGCTGTGGCTCAGTTTGTAGGGTCGGTCGTCTCTCAATCCATGGGGTTCGATCCCCAGCTCCTGCAGCCACATGTCCGATGTGTCCTTGGGCAAGACACCACAAATTGCTCCTGCTGCTTCTGCGGCAGCGTATGAATGGGATTAGATACTTCTGATGTCATTTAGAGACCTCTACCATCAATGTGTGAATGGGTAAGAAAGGGTAGATGTGACTAGGGCTGAGCGATATATAGAGTTTTTAAGATATATCGATATATTTTCAATCCAGATATAGGGTAGGACAATATCGTTAATATCGATATAGTTCATGTTGCATTAAAAAAAAAAACGTTATACGATTGTTCTGTAGAGCTGCCAGTTCACCTATTTCTCATCTCACTGTCTCTCCCTCTTCACCCTGCTCCTCGTTCTCTCTCTCTGAGCCAAACTCAAAACTAAATGGATAACAAAACACACAACAGTGTTTATGTTGTTGTGCAGAAAATTAATTAATTCACAAACAGGTAGTTTGTTTTCATGCACATGTTGAACTTGTGCAACTGACTGTTAATTAAAGACATATCGATATATATCGAGTATCGCCATTCAGTGAAAAATATCGAGATATGAGTTTTGGTCCATATCGCCCAGCCCTAGATGTGACCTGCGGTTTAAAAGTGCTTTGAGTAGTTAGAAGACTACAAGCTCAAGTCCATTTACTATTTTTAACATATACAGTCTGAAAAGTGTTTGTACATGTCGACAGATTTAAAGTTAAATAAACAAGTCCACAAAGTGTTGGAATTATCAGACATTTTAATATAAATTAAAACGACCCCCAACAGAAAATAAACATCCAAAAATACATTAAACTTCCAGCAGTTAGAAAACATCACTGTTTGTTCTTCTTAATTCGTCAGTAGCTGAATAAAAATACAATAAGAAACGTACAGCTTTGTTTGAAATTATGTTTAACAGGTCATTTTCTCTCTCCTGTTCCCTTCTTTTAGGGATCTAAAAATATTTTTCCCCCATCATGTCTTTTTTTTTCCTTCAGACACAACATGATGTGATTCCCATCATGTGGAAACAATCGCCACCATCACTAAGAATTGCTACATGAGTCAGCAAACCACTTCTGCGGTTTAAAATAACCTTCTCTGATGTCGGGATGAATTGAGGAACAGTAGACTAGTTATGAAAAACTGAAGTAATGTCTCATATTCAAGCCGTTATGACAAATGAAATGCTGGACACAGAGTCAAAACGCTTTGTTGGTTTATAACTGGGGCTGGTTTAAAGCTCCTGTGAGGACCTTTCTTTCTGTTTTGGTGCCCCCTGTGGACAAAGTGCTGCCACATATTACTTTGCTAATCTTGTCCTGTAAGTTTGTATTTTTATTTAAAAAAAAAATCTTATTCTGCCTTTTTTTTTTTACTAGTCATAATTATTGCTCATTGTGAATCTTTGCATTGGAAAATAATGCTGTTTGGGTAGAGTGCTGTTGATCGCCTCTACTGACATCTACCACGCTGCAAACGTCTGGCATTAAAAATAACTACATAGAAATTGTTGATCTTGTTGCTGACGGTCTCGTTTGCTTTTAAAGGTCATAAAAAAGCATCAGTATTTATTTTGGCTCGTTTCATAACCAGCTAAAAACTCCTCACAGGAACTTTAAGTAACTGGTGTTTAAATCCAGAAATCGCAATATTAAACTGATGTTTCTCTTTCTATTACCTCTGATATACTTTTATCTGTCCAGTGTAGAGTACATAAAACATCTTAATGAGAACAAATAAATCAATGCAATGGTTAATTGCAAGGGGGAAAAAAGCAACTACTAAAATCGAGAGAATTAGAAGTGCACGGATCTTTTACCCTTAAAGTCGGCGCACTTGTCCAGATGAGCCAAAACAAAATGATTTTTTTTTTTAGTTCTGAGCTAAGTCAGACTTTTGTATCCTCTGAGGAAGTAGAAAAACAACTTTACAGTCCTCTTATCTTTGGGCAGCATAACATTTCCTTCACTTTGAAAGTTATAACATTTCAAAATAAAATAAATTGCAGATCCATTGCAACCTTTTTGTAAATGTGAGGACTCCTATGGTGTTTTCACACATGCACAAAACTCCTAAAAATGTAAAACATTTTTTAGCGCCAGCTGCATGTTTGAATGCAATTCACCCTGATTTTATTCTGAAATTTTTCTGCCGCCCCCAAATTAAAATCGTTGCGAAGTAGGGGTGAGCTGATGGGTGAATGCAGTAGGAAATATTCAGGAAAATTAAGCAAAAAGTGAGCGGACGGAGGTGATGGTGTTTAGATCACTGGTGTGAACGTTGTGCATGTAATGAAGCTGCAGTGTGTCCTTTGTCCAATGAAAAGTTGTATTGACACAAAAATATCAGGGCATACTGTCCAGAAATGTTCTAGAAATTTTCAGGAGTGCATGTGTGAAGACAGCTTTTGTTTATACAGCTGTCTGCTGCATTTAAAACTCCTTCAATAAGCTTTTACTTTTCTATAACTGTGTGAATAAATAAAAAACAAATCTGGACTTTCCTTGGCAGGTGGTGCCTCCAAGTTTCTGCTCCTCAATATTTTGGGATGTTGTTTTTAAGATCCACAAAAATAAAAACGTGTCACTCAAATTTTGACTAGCGGGGAGATACTAAAGTGTTTGGGGCTGTTTCATCGAGGCCAAAGCTGGAGACAAGTTTTTTTTTTGCTTGCCTGAAAAAAAGACATCAACCTGAAGCCCACAAAGGAAACAAAAGATGGTAAATTATGACAAAATGTCAGAAACCAAGCTATGATGGGATTCAAGATTCAGAATCAATCAACACTCAACGCAGAGTACAATCCATTATAACACTGTTTTTTTTGTTTTGTTTTTTAAATATAAAAGTCTGCTCAAACACTTCATGTGGTTATCTTCTTCTTTTCAGGTCGCTAGAAGCTTAAGCTACGTGGTTGGCCATGTTGAAAATGTCTCGGCTTGTTACGGTTACATGAAATTACCAAAGTTTCAACTCGCTAGCTGGGGAATTAGCAGAAGCTGACAATCAACGTTCATTGCCCTCCTGACCCTTGAGGACACAACAAGGTGGGAAATTAACTGGTAGGGCTCAGATATCAATGGACTACATTGACTTGCCACATAGACACTGCTTGTTTAAGGGATCAGAAGCAGTTTACATTGATTGTAATGTAGGCTAATCTGAAAAATGTTACTTCTCATGTCTTTGTGTTTGTTAAAAAACAAGTCTTACTACACCTCAGGCCCCGTGTCTACCTCGTGTTTTTTCCTGGCACAAAGACGCAAAACAGTTTGTGCACTGAGTAGAAAAGCGCTGCATGTCTCTGCTGTCTCTATGACAACACTCTCTATGACAACAGTCTGTTGAAAACAGCTGCTGTACGATCGACAGAAAGCATCAAAACTATGGTAAAGGCGGCCTTCTGCTGCTGCCATTGCTCTCTCATTGAAAACAATCGGAAAAAGCTAGTGCTCAGAAAAAAACGCCAGGTGGACGAAGGGGAAATTCTCTATATTTAAAATGTTCATATTGTTTCTATCAGTTGAAATCAATGTATTCCAATTCCATTCAGCTTGTACACAGTATATTCAATGTTTTAAACCAGTTTTTGCAGCTTTCATTAATCAGGACTTCAGCCACACTAGCAGCTTTGTGAGGCTGTGCATTGACACTCAACCCAATTACAACCCGTTTATATTATATGTTATTAACGGTGAGTAAAGGGATGCACTTTTGCAAGGATTTGTTGAGAAACAACTTCTGGACAAGACTTTCTTTTCCTTGAGTTTCTTAGTTTGTTTGTTTACAGTCAGACCAGCAACTTCAGGAAGTAATCTGACTGTCTAAAGAGCAGATGTTGTTCTGCTATTGTATGAAACAATTTGTTTTTAGAGATTAATAGAAAGCTAAATGTTGTCATGTCAGGTGGCAAGTTGCCTTCGACCCTTTTGTCTTCCAAAGCCTGCCGACGGATGAGAGGTCAAACTACTCGCACTGAAAAGACTTAAACCAATCTGAACCTGAACACATCTGGTGCCAAAACCCGCTCCCCTGTCTACGTAGTCTGCATTTTGTTTATAGCTCATTCATCTTCTTTGTTTAGCATTTTAGCATGCTAGCCGCTGCTTATTAGCACGACACACAAAGTACAACTAAAGCTGATGGGAAAATCATCAGTTCTGCACATATTCAATCCTAAAGTTTTGTTGGTGTCTGATTGGAATTCTTGGAATCACATCCTGAGGGGAACATGAATATGTGAAGCACATTTCATTGCAATTCAACCAATAGTCGTTGACATTTTCAAACCCCATTTTGCTGCCTTGTGGTCGTGCTAACGGGGAAAGTCAGGTTTGTTTCAACGTTTTGCAGCTGTGAGCTCTTACGTTTCCTGCACTGAATTGTACCCAGATCCTGCTTAGCTTTCATTCATAGTATGAGGCATGGAACGAGGATATTGGATGCCATTCCCATGTGATGGTTTATCTTCTGGTTAACCCATTGAAGGGGCTTCTCCTTACATTAAAATATATTTGTTTGAAGCAATGTTTAGGTTTGAGGATGTCTCTAAAATTCTCTAACAGGTAGCCAAAAATAAAGAAACGTATCCACTTCCACTGATTTTACTGTATTCAAAATCTGTGAGGTGTCAATTTCCCACCCTGAGAGAGCTTTTCCCACAGACAGTCCTGCTCCACTGTGATTTACCTTCATTTAAACTCCCTATTTGTTGGTGTGTGTGTTCAGTCCAAACATCCAAACACGGAGAGAGAGAGAGAGAGAAAGAGAGAGAGAGATAGAGAGAGAGAGAGAGGCAGGGCCGCTCACTTCTTGGTCTCTGTTTCATGAAAGCACCTCTTCACAGACAGACACATCCTGCCCGAAGCTTTCCCGTGTACCCGATTTTCATCCTTTTTTTTTCTACATCCGTCAGCGCCTGTTTGCGGCCCTCCCTGATCTGCGTTTGGGTTTGTTTTTTGCGCCACTCTTTTTCCCTGTGCCAACAGGAGCCGCCTTCTCCTCCTCCTCAACCTCCTCCTCGTCGGCCTCGCCCGCCTCGCCCGCCTCGCCCGCCTCTCTGGCTTCAGCCGGACTCTCCTGAACGACAGACTCCAGCGGTAAAGTGGTCTGTTCTTCGGCGCTGGGGAGGCTGAAGTCTTGGCCTGTGCTGCTTGCGCTGGTCGCTGAGGTGGAGGTGAGGTCCGGCTTGTGTTGCTGGTTTTCTGTTTGCATGTCCAGATGGGTGAGTGTGACAGAAGGCTGCATGGAGTCTTTGTTGATCACGGAGCCAGCGTCATCAAAGAGAGAAGTTTCATCCACAACGTCTGTGGTGGTTTCTGTTACAGGTCTGAGGCTGTCTGCCGCTAGGGGAGATCCTTTTGAAGATTCGGCAGCGTCACCCTTTTGACTGAGAACATCTCGGTGCCTCTGAAAGGGAGAAAGATGATAAAAAGTATTGGGACACTGCAAATACCAGCAGGCATCCCCACTGAGAGCTCCTGTATGCTTAAAGTTTAAAAAGGTTAAACAATTAGGACGCTGATAGTTTAATTTTCACTACAGATGATCTTTCTTCTTAATGATAGATTAGTGAAGTCATCCAATACCAACCTTGAGGTTCTCAAAGTGCCTCAGTGATTTGCAGTGGCTGTGCAGAGCAGATGACTCAAAGTGGTAAAACTTGTTGCAGAGTCTGCAGATAAAACCTGCGACTGGGACAAAGAAACTGGACCCTGCAGGGGAACAGAAGTCAGAGAATGTGACACTGAAGTTTTTATGAAATCATTTACGCAGCAATCAGAGAAGAATTAAGAGTTTGCGTTCCCTCACCGTAGACTGTGTCAGGGTCATATTGCTCGTCATTGGTCATATTCTTCAGAGTCACTTCTTTGAGGGAGGACCAGCCATCCTGAATCAAAGAAATACAAATAAAGGAGGTCAACTTGAACCTAAAATTTGAAAACTATTAATCCTCAACAATCCATAAACTAAACTGAAAACAGACTCAAACGACAATAAACGTATTGCCAATATCGCCCTCTGGAACAATGACTCAGCATCTTTGCTTCACCAGTTGTTGATGCGTGATTGTATTGTAGAAAGTACTTAGGTAAAAGCAGGTCATCCTCCTCCTGCAGCAGATCATGAGCAATGCATAAACCCACACTCGCACAGGTAAGCGGAACACTTTTACAGCCTGTTTGGAGAGATGTGGGAAATGTGGTCTCCACAGACAGACAAAAGTTATACTCACTTCAATTTACCTCGCCCCAGAATCTGTCTCCTCTCTCTCTTCAGTAACTAAAAATGATCCATTTTGCCTCAGACAACCCAGAAGTAAGCAAACCATATTTTCGAGCTATTTTAGCTGGTGTATCCTCGGGCAGGGGAGAAAACATTTTTCATTTTAAACATGTTAAAGAGTTTTTAGATCACGTAATTCATCCCTAATGTTTTTACAGGTTCACTTGACTTCTGGTTATTTCAAAAGGGATTTGATCTAAAGCTTAATGGCTGTTTAAATGCAAACCCCATGTCTCTTTAGAGAGCACTACAAACAAAATCAAATGGCATGCAAATCACCTCTTTGTCAGAGCCCTCTTTGTCTCCTTCCTCCCTCTGTGTTTCCTCTCCTCCCTCCTCCACCTCACTGCCCTCCACCTCGTCTAAGGAGAAGCCGTCTGTGTCCGTGGCGGTCAGGTTTCCCAAAGCCTCGCAGCCCTCCTGTTCCTGGAGCTGAACGACAGTAGCAGTTACATGTGTTATCTTCAATGATGCTTGTTTTTATTTGTGATTCAGGAATCTTGTCACTCATACCTTTTCCACTTTCTGTCTGTGCTCCTGGGACTGCAAGTGCTCCACAAAGATCTGGGAGGTCCTGAAGTGTTTCTTGCAGACCGTGCAGGAGGAGACGACAGCTCTACTGGCCAGCTGAGAAGAGGCAAAGGGACAACAGATTAATGTGACCTGAAAGGCTCTCTTAAACATTTTCAGCAAGTCGTTTAAGTGAGCAGTTGATTACTTTGTGCTCCTCGGTACGACGGTGGTCTGTGATGCTGCAGGTGAAGTGGGTGTGACAGGTGGAACACCAATGCTTCTTGTCGGCTTTCTTCTCTCTGCAAACAAACAAACAAACAATATTATCAAGACTCACGATGGTTCATTTCTCTTTTTAAAGCTCCTGTGAGGTTTTATCAGCTCTTCAGGTTATGCAAAAGACTGAGATGAATACAGATGCCTCTACATGAACTACAAAGCAAACCAAGCATAAATACCCCACATTATATATTTTAAATGTGTTAAAAGAAAGCAGAATATGACTTTTTGTTGTCCACAGGGGGCACCAAAATCCACACAAACGTCTCTTATCTACATCTTAATCCATCATCATCAATACACCATTATGACTTCAAAATCAAGAAAAAAAAAACCCACTATCAATACATGTTAGTAGAGCTGTCATGACAACAGAATTCAAAAACATGACACAATACTTGTAAAAACAGCCAATCAGAGAGAGTCATCTCACCGACCGCGGATTCAACGTGTCGAATCGGCCCAAAAAAGGCCGACGGGTAGCGACGGAGACGGACACACCGCAAAAACTAGGGCGACAACCGCTCACCGACGGTCCAACTATGACCGACAGCCGACGATCTCCTTATGTCAGGACCTGAAGTGTGTTTTTAAACTGACCCGTCTTTGATGGCTCCCTGCAGTGACTCCTGTACTCGGGGCAGCAGGGTGACAAGGCAAGCGTTGCTCATGTGCTGGATCTCCATCATCCTCTGCTGGTGGGACATACTGTTCATATGACTCCGGAAGTTCTGCGCGCACACACACACACAAAAAAAAAAAAAAAGGAAAAGAGAAAATGTAAGATAAAAGCAACAATTTATGTATGTTTTTTGTGTGTGTGTATGTTTAACCTACTTGCTGGTTGTGGCAGGTAATGCCGCAGAGGTAGCAGTAGAATTTGTTAGCCCCGTCAGCTACACCTTCCTCCTCTTCCTCCTGGTTGTCCGGTGAAGCCGAAAGAGAGTCTTTGGCGTCCAGCATCTCCTCCACCGGTAAATCAACATGCTGGTAGTCCTCGCTCAGCTGCCCAGACGGGGACGTTGCCGACAAACAGCTGTGCATCTGAGTCAGGACGGAGATAGCTTTCTAACGGGAGGGTGAAGAAACACAAAGACAGACAATCAGCATGCAGCCTTGTTAGTTTACGCTCCCTCAAAACGATGCGTCGTTTAATGTTTGTATCATCTATCGTCTGTTATCCGCACCTCAGCAGCTCCTCCCTCCTCAAACGCGTCAACAACATCTGACCCCCCTGTAGAGCCTCTGTCCTCCAGAATGATGCAGTCTGGGGAAAAAGATACAATGTCGAAAATATATTTAAAAGGTGAATACATTCAGTGCTGTGAACGCTTCTACTCTACATTTCTGTTTGCTTTACCTCCGGGCTGGCTGTCCTCTGTGTTGCTGTTACACTCTGAAGAAAGAACATCCCCATCCGTGTCCGCGATAGTCACAGTCTCGACGACACACTGTCCTTTAGGCTGCTCTGACCTGATCCACACCAAGAGTCAAAAGAAGGAAAAGAGCATTAGCAGTCAAACACAGATTCTTTCACTTTTACTTTCAAGTCTGCCTTCTTGATTTCAACAAGTTGCCTACAACTTGAATGGAACACTTCTATCAAATGTTATTTTGTGCTGCAGCTCCGATGATGTGACATAATGTTGTGGTTTTGTAGCACACAACTACATTCACCCCTCTGTCCTCTGCTTCTTCACTGCAGGCTCTTCAAGTTTCTCCTCAGTCGACTGCGTGGGTCCATCCGCTCCACCTACGGCACCATCTGTGGGTGGAAGAGGGATAAAGGCTAAGTTGGCAACAAGGAATGAAAACATTGCCTACAATAAAAAGCTCACTATTGATCTTTTTCCAAGTGACATACGGCATACAAAGCTACAACTACTAACATTCAGCAACGTTTTAGCTCCAGTTGGAGGGAAGATCTACCTGCATCAGTCTTGTCACTGGAGTCGTTGGTGCTGCTTGTTGCTTGTTGGTCGTCTGAGCTCCCTGCTGCCATCTGCTCGCTGTCTCTCTTCCTGTCTGGCTGGCGACCTGCGTCCTACACAGGAAAAGAGAGCGAGATGGACAAGAGGATTGCAAATATACTGTATCAGCTTATTTCTTTATCAAGTGATTGTTTCAATTGTATCATTAAATCATAATGACATCATAAAGAGGCATGTTATTATCTTTGAAGAATTATTTCCGCACGCTGATAACTTCTCGAGTAAACATAGTTAGAAACCCTGATTTGTTCCTTTTGTGTGTTTCATTAAAACAACTTTCAAACAGGATGATAACATTTCCACTGCCTCTGTTTGAGTGCAGCGTCGAACCCTTGAAACAGCAGAGGCCACGCGTGATTACAGTCATTAAAATGGTGCTGTTGTAATTACTGTGGTATTGATGGAAGAGAAGGAGGAGGAGGAAGACGACGAGGAGGTGGCGGTGTTATTATGGAAGCGAGCATGTGGGTGAAACATTCGAGCAGCTGGGTAACCCATCATGGGGGACTTGATGGCCATGCCCATGGGAACAGGCCCGAGCAGAGACGACCTGGTCCCGGCAGCGAAGAACTGACGGAACTGCTGCCCACCCATCCCAAAGCTGCGCATTTTACCTGAATGAAAGCAGATGGATGGAAAAGGAAAAAATGGAAGGTTAAAACTACAGCCCAGTAAATTACTTACTCATGTTGTTCAATACAGAAATGTGCTATTTATGAGCTTTTCCACATGTTGCTGTCTGTACAGCTTAATAAAAGCCATACCCTGCATCTGCTGCATCAGCAGGGCTCCCTGCAGCATGGGATTCGGTGCAAGGATGGTGGTCTGGGTTGCTTGGCATAGGTTGACCATCCTGGGAGGAGGGGCGGTCTGGGGAGGCATGGCTCTAAACCAAAACAATGTGATACAGACATGTAGCATTCATTTCAAAAGATATGACCTCAGCAAAATCTGCAGCTAAAGAATGCAATTAGGCTGCATTCACACTGCAAGCCTTCACGCTCAATTCAGATTTTTAGCTTGGATCCGTTTTTTGACGAGTGGCTGTTCCACAAATGAGAGCGGCTCAAATCTGATTCCATGTGACTTACGCTGTTCACACTGTCATAAAAAAAACATCAGATCTGATTCACGAAGGAGCAAAACAAAAAATCTGATCAGGTGACTTTCATGTGCAGTGTGAATGAAGCTTAGAGTCATCAGAAAGTATTCTCCTTTCTCAGAAAGCCTGGAAGTTAATTTAATACTTATAAATAATAATTACTTACTTAATTATTATTTATTTAAGATATTCTGATGTTGAAGATACAGATAAACACCTGCATTTTTCTTTCCAATTGAAAAAGAAGCTGGACATTTACTTTTTACTTGATGACATTAATTTTTAAGTCTTGTATTCAGACCCAGCTTTGGTTTAGTTTTTATATAGCATAGCCCGAAGGCAATGCTCTTTAAGCTTCTTAAAACTAGAAACACTAATCATTACATTTCAAAAGTTGAACCATTACAATAAAATGTACCTGATTGGTAGACTTGTAAAAAATCTTATGAAATGAAATAAACACAATGATCAAATGTAAAGAAAGGAGCTTCAGAAATGTCATTCAATAATGAATGACATAATTCAATGAACACGTGCAATTTGTACAATTTTGCTCATCCGTAGAATAAAGAAAAGACCTGCATCCTAAGTGTTTTTGTTGATTAGAGGTGAAATAAAAAAGTAAAATGACACAAGCAGACAAGGTACCTTATGTTTTAATAGAGGTGGTTAAATCAAAACAACCTTCTATTTGCCCTCTTCCTCAGTACCTGACCTCAAATGATTTGGTCTGACATCTTAATCTTTAATCTTTAATATAGCCTCTCAATCTTTTAAGATTAAGCTTTAATTTATTGATCCTGCAAGGGGAAATTCTGTCTTTACACTCTGTAAGTCATGCAACACACACATAGGCTGAAATATACACACATGCACAGACAGGATCCTATGAACAGGCACTAAAGGAGAGATGTCAGGGTGACGGAGCTGCCCACAGCGGGCGTTCCTGAGCTGGTGGTGGGTGGGGGGTTTGGTGCCTTGCTCAAGGACACCTCGGCAGTGCTCAGTAGGTGATCTGGCACCTCTCCAGCTACCAGACCAACTTCCATATTTGGTCCGCACCGGGACTTGAGCCGGCGAGCGACCCTCCGGTTCCCAACCCAAGTCCCTACAGACTGACCTACTGCCACCCCCAATTATATGGCAGGCCAGGTAACAAAGCATGGCAGAAGTCCAACTTCTAATGTTCACATAAACTGAATAAGCATCTTATCAAAAAAAGACAAGGTGGAGGGAGGTGAAGTTGAGCACTCCATTTTGGCCACAACAAGAAAAAGTGTTGCCTAATTAGGACAAAAGATACACTTATCTTACAGTGTCTTTTTATCTTAGTTTATTATAAATATCAATTCACACCAATCAGAGCCTGAGCTGCCCAAATTCCCAACTGAACAATAGATTCCTCCACAGCTGTCCATTTCCAGACGCTCCTGGATCATCCAGTCTGGCATGTGTTGTGGCACCTCTGCCGTAATATCTCATATCTTCCTCTGCACACCCTACTGGACAAACAGCGGAGCAGCTTCTCCAACAGACTGATCCAACTCCGCTGTCACAAGGACAGATACAGGAAATCATTCTTACCGAAGGCCATAACTCTGTACAACAGCTCACCTCATGCGAACAGAGAACTGTCATCATGATAATATCTGTCTCTCCATACTGTCATCTGTTCTGCACATGTTTAAATTTACTAATGTCACTTCATTTGTCTGTCTACTCGCCGTTATATTGAATAGTTTCTGCTTATAATATGTCTACACTCATGCACTTTAACTTATGTCAATACTGTCCATTTACAACTCTGTTTTTGCACATTTACATTTAATCTTCATATTTAATTTAAAACCATTTACAACTCTGTTTTTGCACATTTACATTCAATCTTCCATATTAATCTTTCCTATTTAAGACTAGTAATGTTAAATCCTGGTTGTATATATTCCCATTCTTAGTTTTGATATTTTTAGTACTTATTCACTTTGTATTTAATATTATATTATGTTTAGATTTGCTAACATTGTGTGTTTTTTACTCATATTGTGTGTTTGGATAACCTGCTGCTGTAACGCCACAATTTCCCCAGTTTGGGATCAATAAAGTAATTCTATTATATATTCCATTCATCAGGAGGGCCCCTGCCTGATCCCCGGTCTCGAGTTGAAGGACTTACCGGGGAGTCTGGTGGTGGTGGTGGGCGACATGATGCCCCGGAGGCGGCTGCGGCGGAGGTGGGGGCGGCGGCTGCTGCTGGAAAAGCTGCTGAAGTTGACGCAGGTGCTGGTGAAACTGCTGCTGCTGCTGCTGCTGCTGCTGATGGATGTGTGGATTGAACATCACGATGGGGCTTCAAGTTTCCTCCGATTCACACTTTGCGAGGTTTGACAAGATGAGATTTGACACCCCTTTTTTTTTTTTCTTTTTTTTTTAAATACAGTGAAATAAATCTGTATTGGGAGCAGGAATGAAAGCGTGTGTTAAAAGATGTGCCCTTCAGAAAGCTTCAAGAACAACTCTTATTTTAATTATAAAGAGAAATTGGAGCAGCAGTGCGCACCTTGCGAGACAACAGGTCGCTCTAGCAGCTAAGTGGTAGCATGCAAGCTAAAAATAATTCACTTTCTTGCTTTGCTTTGTTGATTTTAACTCCCTCACTCGGCGGTCAGACTTTAAGAAGGGGAACGCTAAGCAGTGCTTGTGCTATTCCCAAACAAAACAAACTCATTTCCAGTCCCTTAACTAAGAAGCTACACCTGCTTATAAAAAAAAAAAAAAATGAACAAAGCTAGCAAACATTAGCCAGCGCAGTTACTGAACCTTCAGCGTACCAGCCCCGGATAAAACCGGTTTTTATCGACATATACGATGTTTAAAAATGTCTTATAAGGCTTCGTACACACGCTTTTCAACTTACTTATCAAAGAGGGGAGCAATGACGGTCGATGATTATCCGACTTGGATCATAGCACAGGGTGAATGTCTTGCTCTCTCCGCCGGTGCAACTTGCATAAAGCACGGACCCAAAACATTGAAGTGTGTGCAGCATGTCGCCCCCTGGTGGCTGTGTGCAGGCATGTCGCCCCCTGGTGGCTGTGTGCAAGCATGTCGCCCCCTGGTGGCTGTGTGCAGGCATGTCGCCCCCTGGTGGCTGTGTGCAAGCATGTCGCCTCCTGGTGGCTGTGTGCAAGCATGTCGCCCCCTGGTGGCTGTGTGCAGGCATGTCGCCCCCTGGTGGCTGTGTGCAAGCATGTCGCCCCCTGGTGGCTGTGTGCAGGCATGTCGCCCCCTGGTGGCTGTGTGCAAGCATGTCGCCTCCTGGTGGCTGTGTGCAAGCATGTCGCCCCCTGGTGGCTGTGTGCAAGTATGTCGCCCCCCCGGTGGCTGTGTGCAAGCATGTCGCCCCCTGGTGGCTGTGTGCAAGTATGTCGCCCCCCCTGGTGGCTGTGTGCAGGCATGTCGCCCCCTGGTGGCTGTGTGCAGGCATGTCGCCCCCTGGTGGCTGTGTGCAAGCACGTCGCCCCCTGGTGGCTGTGTGCAAGCACGTCGCCCCCTGGTGGCTGTGTGCAGCATGTCGCCCCCTGGTGGCTGTGTGCAAGCATGTCGCCCCCCTCAAGTTTTATCAGCACTGCAGCATCGCCCAGAATAGCCAGGAGGGGGTTTGGGGTCAGCTCTTTCAAAAATATTTTGGAAAGTTGGTCAAATATAAAATCATCTACTTTTTAAATCAAAACTATCAGTGTTTTATTCTTTAATTCCACCACTTCTGAGGATGACAGAAATTTGTATTAACAGGTTAATGCTTTTTCACTTTTATACATGTTAATATGTGCAAATAATACAAGTGTGACATCATTATTAAACCAACCACTATCATTAACACATAATGTATAAAGTAAATCATGTATAATAATGATTTGAACATGTCAATTTAATTAAATTTTCTATTTGTGTTATTCTTGTATTGTGTGTTTATTAGTTAACATAATACACCCGTAAAGGCGCTTATCTTTCTTACATGACAAAAATAAATTATTTGTAAACCCGTGTTTTTAAAGGTGCCATATATAAATAAAGTTATTATGACTATATGACATATAGCTGCATGGTGTGTATTTCACTGCCCATGAGCATTTGACATTAACATCTTGAATCTTGAAAAAGAAACATTATCATTTTAATAAATAACTTGTTTTATTGGAAAATGTGTCGAGTAACAATCAAAAACTTTCACTCTGGACTCACATATTGGACCTTTCACACAAACTGCATAAGAAAAACACAGTGACACTCCCCCCTGTCCTTTGTGCAGTTAGATTCAGCACCATGGACAGATCTGTTCCTCACAAAAAAAATATAGCCTCGTGTTTGGACATTTAAACAACGTAAGCGAATTGTTTTACCTTTCTTAAAGGGCTCAAACAAGCCTAGACTTCACTTCATCAAATAGCCCCTAGATATGACATTTCTTGCTCTGTAAACGTCTCAATTTAACATGCATGAAAGTGAACGCACACGGTGTCACCACCTAGCGGTACGAGTATAGAACTGCGGGAATATCCTGAGAAAATACAAGCGATCATCCTCCTCCCCCCCCTGCGGTGCTCGTTGGAGAGGAGTGTTCATGCTCGGTGGTAGAGAGAGTCCTCTGAGGTGATCTGACACACCGAGGAGGCGCAGTCAATGAGGGAACAAACCGGAGGAGTGACCCGGCGTGTGCGCAGTCCAAAAAACGCCCTCTGAAAGCGAGGGTGACGAGAAGTAGGGGGGGGAACAAAAAAAAAAAAAAGATATCATTGCACTCCCTGCTCTGACAAGGAAACCAGACTGCAAAGATGGGGAACCGGGGGATGGAGGATCTGATTCCTCTGGTGAACCGTATGCAGGATGCCTTCTCCGCCATCGGACAAAACGCGAACCTGGACCTGCCGCAGATCGCCGTGGTGGGCGGTCAGAGCGCGGGGAAGAGCTCGGTGCTGGAGAACTTCGTCGGCAAGTAAGTAGCTTTCCCCGGGCGTCTGCAATGAAATGTCAATACGGGCCCGGTGCATCAGTCACTCATTTTACACTTTACACATTCCCCCCCCTTCTTCTGAAGCAGGTTTAAAGCTACCACACATGTTTCACTGAGACATGTCCCCCTGTTTTATCCACTTGTCTTCGTCCATGTACACGACACCAAGGCGAGGAGATTATTTTGTTAGGCCTGTATAAATCCTCAGGGAACTTTATCTGTTGACTGCTGCGTGATGCATTCACGGAACCACAACACTTTACTTGGCATTGCGAAAAAAAGGAAAATCTGGATGTGATGAAGAATGCACAACAAGTTCCCAAAATTCCGATTTTTTTTTTTTGGTGCACAAATTGCACAAAGTTGTAAACTTTAATTAGAGTTAAGACTGAGAACATCTCTCCCTGATTCAGGATCAGTTTTGATGTTGACTTCCTGCAGCTACAGGATGGTTGTTGTTATTAGTGGGACATTGCTTTACTACCATGTTTTAGTCCCGAGGCTGTTTAATCCTGTGTGTGTGTGTGTGTGTGTGTGTGTGTGTGTGTGTGTGTGTGTGTGTGTGTGTGTGTGTGTGTGTGTGTGTGTGTGTGTGTGTGTGTGTGTGTGTGTGTGTGTGTGTGTGTGTGTGTGTGTGTGTGTGTGTGTGTGTGTGTGTGTGTGTGTGTGTGTGTGTGTGTGTGTGTGTGTGTGTGTAGGGGTTTCAGTCCTGCAAACTTGCACAGTTTTCTGTCTGTCAGAGATCATGACAGTATAAAACAAAAAGGGGGGAACAAATCTGATCTGCTATGCTGCAGTATGACCTTGCAGAGAGGGGTAGAGAGAGAGAGAGTGAGAGAGAGAGAGAGAGAGAGAGACTGAGAGAGAGAGAGAGAGAGAGAGAGAGTCAACCTGAGCTTTGAGCCCTTCCAGCTCAGCTCATCCATCTGTCTGTCAGTGCTTACTGTAAGTGAAGCTTACTGCATGCAGGCAACAACAACACGAGGGGCACTAGCTAACTTCCCTGCTTGTCTTTTACTTCATAGAGCAATCCCTTGAATCCCGTGTGCAGAGTGTGTGATTCAGCACTATTTCCTGCTTAAGCAAGGTCAAATTGTGTGCGTACTGTGGCTCTGAGCCAGCTCACCCCCCCCCCCCCCCCCCACCACTTTAAACAAGGCCTAGGTACGCCGCCACAAAATGCTTAACATCCCAGAGGACACACACGGATCCATCTGTACAGGAACTGAGAATTGATTGGTTGAAACTGAGCCATCACTCTGGTGGATTTCATTAAGTGTGAACACCATTCTTATCCCTTTTTTGCCTGATATTTTCAATCCACTTGTTTGGCCCCTGAGACAGAAAGCTCACCACATGGCCACGGCGCTAATCCCCAACTTAACAGGTACAGTGGGTGAGGAACACGGCAGCATAATCTACCCATCACATTACGTGAGAAAGGTGTATTAGTTTTGTTAAGCTTAAAGGGTAAAACAGCATATTATCACTTTAAAAACTTTAGGTACCAGGGATATTATTCTTCACTCCCCACTCACCATTATTCTTTAGTGCAAATTGACAAGTGAGATTTCTGTTGAGTTTTCAGATGCGTTGTGCGGCTAATGTCGCCTCAAGCTGCTGGCTTCTAGTGGAGGTGAAGAGTTTTTAGAGAATCAGCTTTGTGACTCTACACCTTTGTTTTTTTGTTTTTGTTTTTTTTGTTCTACATTTCGTAAGCCCCAATATGATGCTGACTCAAGTGACATTTATTTGAGTCCATTTTTCAAGTACTGAATAGCCACTCCTGAGCCCAGCATCAGTGTAATCCCTAACACCTAAAAGCAAAAATGAATATGTGAGAATTGTTGTGTTTTCTTTTAAGTCATTTTCAGCACCTGAATTACGTTTACTTTTGGAAAGAACAAATGTTGAAAAATATAAAGGGACGCTTACTTAGGCTAATGTTTAAAGCCAGTTGTAGCTCACGTTTAGCCCTCTCTCATAGAAAGTGACACACGTGTTTTAGGCATCATTTGAAAACCGCTAATTTGCCAGATTATTGTTCCGTAGGTCTCTTTTTGAGAGACTATTTATTATAAACCAAGACGTCTTAAATTGTAATAGTCACTGTAAAACAATCTCCCTATACCCTCCTTAATCAGGCTGGTTTTACTGCAATCACTCAGCTGTAGCCATGGAAACAGCTTGTGCCTCATTACGCTGCCATACCCAAGAGACCGAAGGTTGAGTCCATCATGACGAGAGACAAATGAAGAAAAATCAGAATATAACTACACTAATTAAAGCCCATTTTAACGTAATGAAGATGTCGATGATTGGTTTGTACGCTGCACTCTCAGGCATCTCATTACAGTGAACAGATTGCTGAGTATCACCCTGTCATGCATCACTTGTGTGTTTGTGTTAATGCATGCAGCTGCAGTGACGTCACTCAGGTCCTCCCCCCCCCGGTCTTCCCATTGTGTTGTTGTGTGTCTTATCTGCCTGTGCCAGCACACACACGTTTGCATTGTGTATACATGTACCAACACTTCTTCTTCTCCATTTTGCTCCTCCACTCCTGGTTTTTCGTCTTCAGGAACCCACGCTGACGCCTCTCAGAAACCAATTTAATGTGGTGTTCCTATCAGAGCAGTAATCTTTTCTGGCTGTTATTAAGCTGCTCGCCTTTTAATCCTTTTTACTTTTATTAGAAACTGCCAGCAATGCTGCAAAATTTGGCAGTAATGTCGGAGTGATTATTTCGCTCACACAGCTCTGGTTCTCTTTTCCTCCTTCCATTTGCTGCTTGCAGTTAAGACAAACGATCAATATGAAGTTATTGGAGACTTTTAACTTAAACCAAAGATATATTACCTGCTTAAAGCGTGTTTCACCTGTGACTGAGCACACAGGTGATATTTAGGTAAGAAAGTGGATGCTGTCTTTTCTTTTTGTAAATATCAGACCAAACCAAACTAGAATGTGTCTGCATTTGTTGATAAAGGGATGAAGGCAAAAAGTAGCTTCTGAAAGGCTCGATATGATTGTTGTTGGGAGGAGTTCACTTTACAACTTTACTCCGTAGCTCCAGCTTGTTTGCCATGACACCTATCCCCTCAGGTTAATTAGATTCTGATGCCTGGCAAGCGTGTCTCAGGGACAATGACGCCAACCCGCTGAGTTATGCTGTTCTAAATGCATCTGAGGACGCTAATCAAATTGATCTGTTCCCCCCTTTTATTGTCTGTCCTTCAGTGTTTTGTGATCCTGCGTTCATAAATTGTCCTCAACAGAGAGTCTTTCAACCTGCTCGCACCAGTCTTCTCTTTCTCGTTCGGTTTAGACTCCCCTCAAAGTGGCTTCTGTTGCTGTGAAATATGAAAGTTCTCCACTTCAAAGCCCGTGCGGGGGAGGTTAAACTGAGATGATCCGTCTGATGTAATATTATAAATGAAAAGAAAGCTGAGATCTATCGCGCTGTGGTTGAGGACTGCACTTTTTTGTCTGGTTTCTAGGTTGATCAGCAGCTTTGCTTTTTGTGAATATGCTATTATGCGATATGTTATACATTTTTTTTGGGTGAGGTTTGAGGGGTTCAATATGCTTTTGGACCGGCAAGTAACAATTATTTAAATTTTTGTTTGTTTTGAATAAATCCATTCATTTATGAGTGTTTAAAATGTCAGACAGTGAAACATGCTTTCAGAATGAACAGTCAAAAACACCAAGAGCTATATATGTACAGAGGAAGAAGAAAACTGCAAAACTGCATAAAACATCCAAAGCTATAAATGGATACATTTATTGTTTATTGACTTGTGAATTGATGGACTACTTTCTGCAGGCAAAGGTCACACATCGCTTTTCTGTTTGCTTCATTGATCTGCCTACGATTCAGTTGTAAATAAGACATTTTCTCAATCTGGATCAGTGCACAACCCCCCGTCTCCCATCTGCGTCCGTCACCTGGTCTGTAATTTATTCTCCCATGAGTCTAATTACCAGGAACAAAGCAGCGAGCCTTACTGGTCTCCAGTGCCCCGCACAACCTGTTCAGGTGGAGGTTGGGGATGTCAGGTTGACTATGACTCAATTCAACATTATTACATACACAGAGTGAAATTTTGTTAGAAAGGGGGCGATGAGTGTACCAAGAGTCACTGTTGAAAGGAAACGAAGGCCAAATGAGATTTAGTGGCAGAAGAAAGAGAGGAAATCATGTCATCTTAATGTCTGACAGAGTGCCTCTTCATAGAGTTTGCCTTCATTTTCTTAAATTTAGAGAATTATTTTAGATGATTTTTTTTTTAAATTGCTTTTCGAATAAATGACGACACGCTGCATTATCATGATTCTGAAAAAGGGCCAGAAGGTTTGAATGTCCTTTTTTCACACATTTGTTCTAAAATGCTTGTTATGAAGAGCGTCCTTCAGGCTTGACTTCAGCTGGCACATTTCATCTTTATTATGCCTTTATCTACAACATGCAGCACATATTTACTAAGGATAATAATCGCTTAATACGATGTGAACTCAACAGCATGTTTTACGTAGAGGGCCAAATTTCAGCACCATGGATAGCTCTTTAAAAAAAAATCCAAATCAGCACCAAAGCTGCCGCCTAAAAAAAACCACACCGAACAAATACTGAATAAAATAAGGATGATCACGTTCATTTATAATATTCACATTATGATGCATAGTTTACTGTCACCATGTTGAAATATAGAAAAAGTTGCATGAATTGGACATACAGTAATAAATGGTTTTCAGTGGTTTGCAGGATTGTGCATAGTGGAATGTAAAATTTGAAATGATTTTAAGAAAAATAAGCAAACTTTACATCATTTTCCTTGTATATACTCTGCACTGTGTTAGAAGTGAAGGCTGCTGGTACTTGTGTAACTCAGGATTGTAAAATCACAGCACAGACATTTTTCACCCTCCTGCTGTCTTCACATTTTCCAAACCCCACTCAGAGATTAAGTCAGTGATAT